TGTCTCCACAGGAATAATCTATGAGAAGAGCTTCCCCACGCCTTGACGTTCCGCCGGCCACGGAGCCCGTACGACCCCATTCAAATGTCGCAGTGTGACATAGGAAAAAGAAACCATTCTGCAGAGCTGACTTGGTAACGTCAGACTGGCTGTGTCTGTGTGAATGAGGTTCGCATTCGTTGCCAGTTTCTTAAGTTCCCGTGTCCATTTGACCGTCATCGTCGCGTCGTTCCCCGGAGAGGTGTGGCGACAGCCGCCGGGTTCCAAAGTGCGCAATCCAGTCCATTCGAATTCGCGCCACTACTTGACCCTGTCTGTATCCAGTCCGACAAAAACCCGTGGACATCTCGCGCGACCGTTTTTATCCAATTTGAAACTTTCGCCGTTGACCTGAAAAATCGCACAGCGCAGTCGTAAGTCACAGATCCATTGGATTGCTGGTTTTTCGTTTTTCACCTTCAAGAAACGATCGTTTATTCGATTACCCCATTCGGGAGAAAGGTATCACACCGTTACGCCTGTCACTCCGAAATTGTGACTTCCTCTTGGAACGTCTTTTTTGGCCTTGACAAATCTCGAGCCGCTGTTCAACTTCACCTCCGAACAAGGTGAACCTATTTTTCACAGTTTCTTATTTAGCCTTTTCTCTCCTATGCAAATTACTTCTATCTTGAAGTGCGTTCCTGACAATGCGGCAATCCATTTGGACAACGGTCCGGTTGTCAAAATTCGCACACCCAATCCTTTCCCATAACCCCCCCTCCTGCACCCGATTTCAATGGGCCGTATGGTGCAGATATTGTCGAAGTGGACTCACAATAACCAAACATCCTTCCGAATGCAACAAGCGTCGAGCAACGAGTTGACCCTGCTCCCGGAATTCTCGCCTCTCGCGCGTCTTGAAAATTCGAATTATGGCGAATTGGAGGCGTACTTCGTTTCCTCTGACTTTTGCCATCTATTTGGTTTCTATTCAGCCTTGGTATAAAATCACAAGGCAGGGTCAACCAGCTCTTTTCTCCATCTGATTGTAAGAGATTGTTTTCTTGTGATATGAGACCTTTCGTAACCGGAGATGCGACCACGACCCACCCACAGGGCGAATCTGATTCAAATTCACTCTAGAGAGAGTGCCTTTTAAATGTTTGGTGAGTATACAGAAAAACGTATTATGCAGACTAATCAGACCTGTACGAAAGAGGTTTTCATTAACAGGGGGTGTCTGGTTCCTGCACAGGGGTTATAGAGTTGTGATTCAGTGTTAGCCCTCTTACGGGACTCGACAGTATATCATCTGAGAAACGACTTAAAACGACCGTGCGATCAAAGAATATGGCAACATCAGAAAGGTCGCTGCGAAATTTTTCCATGGATCAAAACTAGTTGAGCTCACTCGCAAGCCTTGTGCATTCCACAAAGATACCTCTTAATCGGGTATGAGAATGAACGGGATTACTTTGATGTCTTTCAAACTAGTCTTAGAGCCAAACAGTGACCCAGCGCGGGTGCGCTTACACAGCAATAATCCCACAAGACTCCACTAGCGTCGTCATTCTATCCTTTATCCTATTTTTTATGCGTGCAAAGGTGGCTGATGTGAGCCAAGTGTAATACAGGCACACACCGCGTCTATAATATTAAGCGTAAGCACAGAGCTCACGTGAAGCAGCTGGTCCCTTCACGCATTCATCAGCCAGGAGAGGCCCATCCATTAAGCGCAGAAAGTGCTGGTGACTGACCGTTGTGCGTGAGCAGGACAAGGCCTGTGCTGGCATAGAGAAAGGCGTCATGATTAGAGCTATGCCTAACAAGTTTGGAGGTAATGTTTAGAAAGGCATATCAAGCGTACTTACGCGTATAGGACCCGAATTAGGGCGAGGGGACATTGGAGGGTAACACAGGGGCGTTGACTAAAATCAGCTATGGATCATGGAAATACAAAGTTTACAGCGAAGTTTTATTTCTTTTCTGTTCCTATCAAACTTAGTTTTCTATTCCAGTGGAAAGTTTAGATTAAATTAAATCAATTCAAATCGAATTAATTTGAGAGTCAGAGCTAAGCATCGTTGTAGAGGTTTTTTGTGAAGATGCCCGAAACAGGTCCTGATGTGTGTCCACTATGTTTTGCCGCAAGTACTCTATGTAGCGTTCGTGGGAAGAAAAGCTCTAAATCTCTCTCAGTATTTATTTCGCTCGATCTCCTCCTCCTTGACGATTTTTTGCAGGGCAAAAATCCCAAACAGGATAGATCTTTATTTTTGAAACGCTCAGGACCAAGCACCACACTTCCCCCTATCATCGGGTAAAAACTTCAGACGACCTCTCTCCGCATCTTCGCTCACTCCCCTAGTGGAGCGGACAGTCCTCCGCCTAGTACCATCTAATCCTTCTCCTCTAACAACACATTTTGCCTGAAAAAAATGGCGCCGCCAGAACGAGGGGCTGGACTCCCGCAGCGAAAAAAAGAGCGAAATTTTCGAAATTCTCATGACCTTCTCTCACCTTCCCCAATAGGCGTTTGATTCTGGGTTTCTGAGCGGTCGTTAAAGTGAGTGCCTCAAATTTCGATTGTCACAGGTTTGCGCCACTAACGATGGTTGTTAGTTCACCCACGTGGGAGAGCCCTCGAAAGCTTCCGTGGACCGTTGACGTGCACATGGATGCCTACAGTGTATGAGGTGTATATCAGTTGTCCGTTAGGTCAGGTTACCCTAATCAGGACACCACTGATTTGCTTGCAGCAAGTCTAAGCCCAATTTAGGGCCCAAGGATAAGCTAAAGCGTATTTCCAAAGCTAAGCCTAGTTCTGAGCCTGAGCCTTACGTTATACCTTAAACCATCGCGCAGCTCTGGTGACTTGACCGAAGTGTAGAACTGAAAAAATCTCCTCAGTGTCTCCATGATGGTCACAGGATTCTATGGAAGAGCAGTTCAGTTTGCCACCCATGGTCAACCACTCCAGCTAGTTCATTTGTAGCCGTTTGCGTGTAGGGTGTTTCCATCGCCTTGTCATCATTTCTCTCATTCTTGCTTTGTTTCGTCAGAGTCAACTTATTGTTAATTTGAGGCGTCTCAGACGTTTAAGAACCATAAATGATTCAAATAAGGCGAAGGAAGCTTTGATTTGCTTTTCGAGTGTTCTTGTTCACATTAGGGCTTTTTCCCTCATAATCGTAAACGCCCTACACACACAGAAACAGCTACAAATAAACTAGCTGGAGTGGTGTGGCCGTGGGTTGCGAACTGAACTGCTTTTCGATAGAAGCTATGCTAGTGGGTCACTTCTTATGAGATATGCGCCCCAACCATTCAACTGCGCGACGAGTTCGACATCAAATGCTATCCATTGAGCTGCTGCTGATGTCATGGCACTCGCGTAATCGGCTTTATAGACCGCTCATTTCCTTTGCCTTGGTAATGTAAACGAAGCTAAATTCTTCCGGAGGTTTAGCATCATCGGATTGAGGGGGTTACATAAAAAAAAATTCAGGAGAGGTGCTCTAGTGTTGCCGGTGCGTATAATAGCTCACCCACAATAGATATGAACAGGGGTCAAGCGTACCCAGCCAAGGATCGTTTCCCAGAACTGCGTCTTTGCTGCGGTTGATGCACTATCTCCACGGTTAAAAATGTTTTCATGCCTCCAAAGATGTAGAATTTTATGGGATCATCCCCGGCCGGGCTACTGCAGGTAGCCCGAGTTATGCTTCTCCCTAAGGCTGGCACTTGCTCAGTTTGGCATTTGGAAGCCCATTTTGAAAAAAAATCACTAAAAATAAGAGGTCCTTATTGCGTATAAATGAGACTGGCTATCAGACAAATGATCCCCCCCCACTTTACCAAGAAAAGTGAATCATCTGCTTGGGGTTCCTCGAAGCGTCCATTCTTTCCTGGTTGAACCTTTCCTTAATTTTGCAGCTTTTTTAACGAGCGGCTTCATATGAATCAAAAGAAATTTTTAAAACACCCGAGCTGTAGCTTTTTTGATCTATTTTTTATTCTCTGTCACGTCGTGGGTCTTTAACGTTTCGATCTTTAGGTGTTGACCGGTTGTCCTTGCATTATGTAAAAATTTTAGAATAATAATGAAAATGACCAAAGTGGGCTGTGCGGATTAAAAACATCCCTTCCAACCTAATAAACAATGTATAAGCTTCCTGCCTGAGACGTGCCATGCATATGCTTCTTTTCCAAGTCTGGAGCTTTCCGTGACCCATAACGCCTTAACATTAACCGTAAACCTTCTTCAAACGTGCTTTTACTGAATACTACCGGTATTTTCAATTGGTTCCAACTTAGTTTTCGGATATAACGATTTTTTAATTTTTCCGGTTCTTTTTTCTCTGTAACGATTTTCTTATCTTCCTATTTGTTCTCGTTTGGCCGCTTACCTGCGTATAGTCTGGGTACTGGCTTCTTCTGATTGTTGTCCCTACGACGTCACAAACTCTGGGGAGAGGGAAGAACCATCGGTCGGGTAGTCTGCAAATGAACCTTCGAAGCTATCTAGGGCCTCTAGAGGCAGACAAACACAGGCCTTCGGCAGCGCGTAGAGCTGAAAGATTCTAAACACCAATGGAGTCGCGCAAATACGACCCCCTCCCCGCTCCCATTCGTAGCCGGCTCTCTGACTACACTAACACCTCAATTGGCATGAACGAGGACATGATCACTGTTGCCCATTTGCTGATTCCTTCACTTCCTGTACAGTCCGCGTATGACGTCATTATGAATTGTTCAACAGCGAATTGGCGATTAGGCGTGAAGAAAATCATGCGTATCGATCAGGCGACTAGGCGATCGCCTCGTCTGCATGAAACCTGAGTGACGCGTGTGCATTTTTTCTCGCCTATTCGCCAACTCGCCAAATCGATATGTATCATTTTCTTTTCGCCTGATAACCTGAGTCGCCAATTCTCAACAATGCTTGAAAATTTCGTGGCTTCCAATGTCTTCCTGCCCGTTTCATCACCTATGTGAACGTTCCAATTTTCAGCACGATGTGGTGGCTGCTGGTTGTGTTGCCGGCGGCGGTAGCACTGAACTATCGATGTCCAGAACGATCAGGTACTGGTTGTGCAGAGTTTCGGTAACGACACCATCAGAATGCACTGCCAACAACTCGACATGTGTGGATACCAACAGTTGGTACGTTTCTTTGCACTTCCATGCATCAGAGCTTCCAAAGTCAAAGTCGCCACCCTCACAAAGAGGCAAGGTCTACGGTCTCCCTAAGTGACAGCGAAATCGCAACGGAATGTTTCAGCGTTGCGACTACGACGAATCGCAGCCACAGTGTGGAGGTCTGATGAACTTCGTCGCGCATGTCGTCCAAACCTCTGCAACGTCACCGTTAGTTGCTCGCCATTATGACTTTTAGTTTTTGCTTTTCGATTCTTTACTCTCCCATTGTTCCGTTGATAGGCGTCATCAAATCGTGTTTAATAGCCAAAGAAACATCTCTCAGCTGGCCTCCTTCTTCTTTCGACTTCTTACAAGCGTGACGCCGGCGCTTCAGAGGCCCCATTCAACCTGCGCTACTTCTATTTACAACAATGAGAGTGTAGATGATCCTGACCTTCCGAGTGAAACATCCTGCTATATCTCCTTCTGCCGCTAGCATTTGTCCTTTTAGACAAAGGCGGGATGTTCTCAAGGTTTAGGAACTAGAAGATCTTTTGATTCATCAAAAAAAGAATCAATAACTATTCATCAGAGGAACACTGACGATGGAACCTTTAAGGCCGATGTCAGACTTTGCGAATCGCGCGATTCGCTAGCGTCCGCGGTCGCGTTGCGGTACCAGCCAATTGAGTGATTCACTGGCCGCGACGCGACCGCAGACGCTAGCGAATCGCGCGATTCGCAAAGTCTGACATCGGCCTTAGCTGCGCCTGTATAAGGTGTCTGCAAATCAGTATCACGGTCGCGTTAGGAGTTCCAGAACAGTTACCGATCTTCTGAGAATGATCTCCGACAGGACCTCCCCCCAACTCACCATCATCACCAGCCTCTAACCTACCACGCACCGTTTGCCAGCCGGCATCGGTTCTCGACGACGCAAACTGACAACACTTCAACCTCCACCCTGAACTCACGCGCCCCTCCTTGAAAATCAGCGCATGCGAGCGCTGGAAAGGGGAAAAAACGGGGGAGAAGACGAATGGGTTGGATGCATAGAACTGTGGCCGGTAACTAAAAACGTCTGCAAGACGACTCTTCTCTTTAGCTTGGCCAATTTCAGGCTGCTTTCCTAAGCAAGTGCAGTCTTTAATGGTTACCCATACGGGGATGCAGTCAGCTAGGTAACCCTACCGCGGTCTTGTAGATCAAACTCTATAAAAATTTGTTCAAATGTTTCAACTGGTAGGCGGGTACTGATGACTGATCGAGACTGTAGATTGCGATATTTCAACGGCTCTGAATAGTCCCCTAAACGTCGATATTTCTGTCTGCCCAGGTAAACGCTATTGAAGGGTGCGAACCTTTTCCCAACCCGGCTCCTCATGAACGATACGCAGGTATGACTGCTGCTAGTTTTCCTGAGTGATAACGGCTGAAAGGTTTTTCTATTCATCCTGCTTATGAGGCGAAACCGAAGCTTGAAAGCTGAAAACTGAACTGTTTTCGCTTTGATGGATCCCATTATGAATCAGCATTCGTCCATAAGATGTGAGTCATCCGTCAATCGGATGGATTGAGCGAGTGGATTCGAATTCGATACGGATATCTTTATGCATACGTTTAACAGACCGCATTTACGGGGTGAAAATCGTAAAGAAACTTCGTAGCGCTCAATCCATTCGCTATTAGAGCATCACTTCCCGTGAAGTCTTTCGAACAGGGCTGAGCGGCCTGGTCTAGAAGTGGGGCTCAGATGGAATGCGTAATGGTCAGCGAGAAAAACCGAGCACGAAAAGAAAAATTTCGTTGGCCCCTCGTCGTAGTGTAGCGGCCAAAACTTGCTTTTTAAATTTTAGGGAAGCGTGACCAATTAAAATTGCTTTTTTTTGAGTTCCCATAGGAAATAAGGACTTACAAAACATATAACTCCCACATCATTTCCTTCAAGATTACCTCTTCAATCAATTTTTGATCTCCTCCCTTCTGAGTGAATGACCGCACGCGGTTTTTCAAAATTTATGAGTGTCTTTATTAAGATTTGTTAATCTATGAGCCGCTATGGAATTCCTCACTGTTATTGATCGATGAATGAAACTCAACTAAATAAATAAATAGGTAAATAAATGAAATAAACAAATAAATATATAAGTGAATAGGTTCTCCGTGGGAATCGAAACTTTCAGCTAAAAGGTAAGATTTATTATGATCAGAAAGTCGAAACTTTTCCTGTACCGCTATGGTTCCTCCTACCTCATGACTATTTGGGTATTACGTTATATTTTCCAGTTTTGTTTTCTAAGGTATCAACCCGATTCTCACTTGATTAGTTTAATAAAAAGTTCCGAGCGCCGAAACGGCTGTTAAAATGTTCTCACTACGAGGATGTTTCATCAGTTGTGAATAAGGCTCGGTATTCCAAGGATTTTCTATAGTGGCCATTTTGATAAGGGACCCATGACATTAAATGGGGGATAAGCCAAGTTGGATTGTGTAAGTTTGGGCCGTGTTGAGAGAGCTGAAACCCCCAACTTCGACACTACGACGTTTCGAGGGTAGGCCAGTTATGCATCGCTCCAAGGGTTCCTGAAAATTCTTGTTACCCTAAAATCCCATAGATAAGAGCGGTTTAATTTACCGGTGAAAAATGAATTGGAATGAAATTGAAATTGAATGCAGTCACCCCTCTAACTTGATGGATGGATAAATAAAAATCGGAGAAGAAGTTTAGAAGAAGCTCCGTCCCTCAACTCTAAACCCCGCCCACTTAATAAACAATTCATATAGAAAAATAGCGATTTTAACGGAATTTCTGCCGGAATCTCTCTAGAAATGCCGGAATTTGATCTCTGGATAGAACTTGAAGAGCCCATTCGATCAGTAAAATTCCATAGATAAGAGCGGTTTAATTTACCGGTAAAAAATGATTTTGAAAAAATATTTTTATTTTTATTTTATTTTTGAAAAAATATCTATGGACCGCTCTTATCTATGGGATTTTAGGGTAATTCACAAATGACATTTAACCTTGAGTAGCGCTAGGTCTACAGGACGTATTTTTTCAAACAATTCATCGCCAAAATACATAAGAAAGTTGCTGCTCACTCTTAGCAGTACAACCTTGATGAAAAGCACTGTTATCAGATTCTCTAGCATCATCAGAGCCGCAGAAGTGGCGAAGTAAATGAGATGTGAAAAAGTTGTCAGTTTTCGAAGTGCTACTGTATCATAAGATGGGAGCAGATGAGGGCAATTATGTGAGGTCAAGGATCTTTGAGGAAGAGACATTGAGGAACAGGAGCGAAACGCCCGCCTGTTGAGACGACTCCGCTTCCAGGAGGGACAGATATCGTGGAGATTTGTGGAATCTGACGTAATTTAAACCTTTAAGAAGAAAAAAAATGTGTTTTGGAAGTTCCCTTAACGAACCCCAGGAAAACAACCTTAAAATTGTCTGCATACGGTAAAAAAATATGCTTAGCAACTTCATCGCCAGCTAATAGCAGTACAGCGAATGAAAACTTATAACAGAACTAATCGCGGAACTTCTATAAGCTGTTGTGGTTGTTGGCTTCTCAATCGTTTTTTTCATATTTAATATTTTTCCTTAATATTTTGGCAAATTAGACGTTCTGCAAGTGATTCAAGATATTTGATGCGTTTGCAGGGTCGAGCACACATGCTGCAATCTGTTCAACCCTCGTGCACCGCACACGATTCCGACGCATGTTGGCAACGACTGCTTTATCTACGAACTACCTGATGGCTCTTCACATCCAAAACAACCTGACAGCCACGATGACACCCCGTACACCGTGCTGAAGGTACAGAACCAGTAATTCTCACGGAAGAACAAAATTCAAAAATTTGTTGCAGAGCGCTTCCGAAATTCCCGAACACATCGACGGGAATGTCCGGTTACCGTCTTCGTCTCTACTTGCTCAAAAACAAAGCTCCTCCGACATTGCTGGTGAAGGGTATCGAACGGAGATTGTAAGTGATTCTGTCAAAACAATCGCGTCCTTTGGACGATCAGGCTTAACCGGCTGCAGAGGCCTCCGCTAAAATGCACTTACCTTTACCGCCAAGGAATTCAGTTCAGTCAGGCTAATTTTCTATCGGCATTTACTATCCTTCACTGGATTTTATAAAATAAAATAAAATAAGAATTTGCTTAAAGTTCCTGACCATCTGATCCGCTCCGTATCGCACAATGGCGATTTATATTGTTAGCAAGATTTCGAATGAATGGATGCAAATCGGATCTGATTCAGCTAGCTGATACCGCTTCAGCGCGAGAAGAGATGGCGGAATAGAACTAATGGTAAGGTAGGGCCGGGCGGGGGGTGAGGGGGGGGGAGAGGGGAGGTGTAGCGGAGAGGTTAGGAGGGCTAGTTCCAACTCGAAAACCCTTTACCGAATGAATAAAGTGGATCTTAGCGTTCCCACCTGCGGGAGCGGTTACACTGCGGTAAACACAGCATAGGTGATCTTCCCCGATAAAGACTACCTTCACAGCTGGGTTCACCACCCCTCTTTGAAGGAACCTACTGAAAAAGAATCTAGAATCTCTCAAATATCTCTAAGTTTCTACTTTTACTCAACCACCTTTTGGGAAGATCACTTTAAATGCGACCATTTTGACACATCCTTTTTCAAAGGATAACGACGTCGTCTCTTAGAAAAGTCCCGTCGCACTCTTTCTCCCATCCAGATTGCTATCTATGAGTCTAATAGGTCTTGAAATCGAGGGCATCATACTGTTACCGTATGCACATACATATTCTGTTTACCGAAAATAGTGCCTTCCATGCGAGAGAAGAGTAGGTCCTACCTCTTCTCTCACATGGAAAGGTCTCTCCACGGCTTGTAGCAGGGCCTGAGATGGGTCAGCAAGCCGCCCTAGGGATTAGCTAGAAGTCAAGTGACACTGTTTTCTGGATTCAAAAGGCAGAAAGTTTTCCTGGACGCCACCTGCGGTGTTCTGATCATCACCACTAACCTAAGTACATTCATACTGCCCTAGGTCCTCTACCAAGGGTGATGTAATTAGTGTACATGTTTTTTAGCCTAAATGGGCTGGTTTAACAACGACTTGCACATTACCGGCGTACCAATCGTCTCAGAACCGAAAATCCCTTCACAGTAAGGGCAAGTGATCCCAAAATCGATATGTCAAATTGGGAGCCAAACAAAGACGACAATCCTTGTCGCTATGAATTTCCGCCTATTGCAGAGATGGCTATCGCGTTACGATTTGTCGGCCTCGGTGTACCTCTTACGAAGCCGTTGAGAAGGAGGTAATAAAAAATAGATAATATTTAAAAATCAAAGAAAGGCCGAATAATTTACATTTGAACAAAATCCACGTTAAAAGCCCAATACTGAATTCAAGGGTTCTCAGGAGCAGCCAAGTGAATGGAAGGCAATCAGCTGGAGCAGTTGGACGAGTTCCACGTGAGTGGTTTTCACTGTATTCCCATTAATATCTTGAAATTCTCGTTCCTCTAAGGTGGTCAACATGGGCACGCAGCGTTTGGGGAAATGTGGGCAATGGTCAGAGGCGTCAACGAGTCGAAGAAGTTCACACGACGGGCTCAACCTCTGGTCCAGGTCTGTCTTCAGCATGGATTTCTTTGAGCTTCTTTGAAATGAAATATTTAATTTCCAGCAGCCGAGGGAGGTCCGCAACACATCCATGTGCACGTAAACGCCAGCGGAAACAACAACAATGTCATAGATAGTGGAAGGGGAGCCTCCGAACCCGGCCATATCAACATCACAGTACACACTGGACAGTTTGGGGGTGGCGGCGGTGATGCCTTCAACTCTAAGGTAAGAATCGTTCTGGACTGGCGCTGAATGCTTCTGCATTTGATCG